TCTTCAATTCTTACAAAGACATCACGAGATGCAATAAGTTATGTCTTGATCTCAAACTGCACTAGAACAAAGACTGTAAATGTTCATAGGTGTACTGCAGGAGTGTCCAAACTTTTTGGGCCGAGGGCCAGATGGGCCCCCTAAATTATTAGCCACCGTTTATTTTTTCCCCAATTTCTGTTTAACGGAGAGTTAAACATTTTTTTCCACACATTTCTAAACATATTACTTTTAGTAACTCATTTCTAATAACTGATTTATTTTATCTTTGCCATGATGACAGTAAATAATATTTGACTAGATATTTTTAAGACACTTCTATACAGCTTAAAGTGACATTTAAAGGCTTAACTAGGTTAATCAAGTTAACTAGTCAAGGTAATTAGGCAAGTTATTTTATAACAATGGTTTGTTCTGAAGACTTAAGGGGCTAATAATTTTGACCTTAAAATGGTTCATAAAAAAATTTAAACCGCTTTTTATTCTAGCCGAAATAAATCATAAGTCTTTTTCCAACATCATTTGGGAAATATTTAAAAAAGAAGAAATAAATCAACGAGGGGCTAATAATTCAGACTTCAACTGTGTGTAGACAGACAGACAGACAGACAGACAGACAGACAGACAGACAGACAGACAGACAGACAGACAGACAGACAGACAGACAGACAGACAGACAGACAGACAGACAGACAGACAGACAGACAGACAGATAGATAGATAGATAGATAGATAGATAGATAGATAGATAGATCATAACAAGAACTGCTGCTTAATTGAATGCATGTAATAGCGACACCCGGTGGTTATTTATTGAATTACGTTCATTTTTGTATAGCGGGCCAGATTCTATTGATATTTATAAAAAGCCTCGCCGCGGGCCGTAGTTTGGACACGCCTGGTGTACTGGAATGTACAGTATCTGTGCATCTTCATGGTGGTCTTAAGATTTCTGCCATAGTCATTGATGGTGATGGTACTTGTGGTGCTGCATTGATTTCTGAAATCTTCATACCTGCCTTTTATCCAGCCTCTTTGTTTCAAGTAATTTTTCTTCATCACGGTATAGATGCGTCTATACTGTCCCTTGATCAAATACATTTACAAAACAAAACATCACTTTAGTATAGTGCCAGGGCAAAACTCACAGGTTGTAATAGATCAATGACAATGTTGACAGTATGTGTTTAAAATAATTGCAAACAAACCTGTTCTGTCTTGAGATGTATGACAGGCAATCATCGTCCTCATCTGTCTACCAGTCAGAAATCACAGTTGCATGTGGATGTTTTAGTCGAGCTTCCTCATATGCATCTATAATAAAACATCACATTGTTGTTAACCTCCCGTAAAGAAAAGTTCAAATCCTGAAATACTATCAAAGTTAATTAATGCATATAATACCTATAGTGTAAATAATCAGTACACAGAAGGTTGCACAAGATTTATTCGGAGATTCATGCAGAGTGACAGCCTTATGAATCTGAGACATAGATTTGTAAGATGGCCAAGCACATGCATTATTCTGTACCCATGAAGATTAACCAACCATTGTGAAAAATGGTTGATGATGATAGCCAATAACAATAAACCATTTCAGCTGTTTGTGAAGCAATTAGTAATGTAATGTCTGAAAAGCTCAATCTATGTTGAAAATGTATCAGCAGTTTACAGCTTATAATGAACTTTTAGCACACAACTATAACATGCCTATTCACGTTCAAAAGAGTGTGCCATTGACTTCTTTGGTCGTGATGTACTGCAAAATGATCTCACTAACCTTTGTTAAACAAGACCAATAAGACTTAACCAACAAATATTGTTACCCATTCATTTAAATCAGAATTTATCACTGTCAATAACATAAAAAACAAACAAAAAAAAAACATCAAAATCTGCTTTAAGACGTTCAGTTTTACATTAACTGACCATTACAGCTTGAACAAAAGATATAATTGATTCACATAGGCTAACACATATGAATTAAAGTGCATAGTAATATATTTCTCTTGGATAATTTAAAGAGAATAGTAAACAGTAGAGTTTCGATCACTTTTCGTGACTAACTGCATAAACAAGATAAACAATAATATTTTATTAATCCAAAACGATTAGTTTTTATTTACACAATCACAGAATTAATACTGTTGGATAAGCATACGCCTGTACAATGATTTTTTCAACTTCCACGGTACTTTATAATGTTAAATCAGGATAAAAACACGTTTTGCCAAGTTAGTTAATGGATTCGTCTACAGAAACTTTCTTTAACGCAAAGTTAGCATACACACAAATTCGTTTCATGTTTCTTTAAAATAATTAAAATAGTTTTCAGTTACTACACACGTTACAATCTAACATTGTGTTAAAGGAAAATGAACTTTCAGGCGTGTTTGTAACTGTTAGCGTTAGCATACATTGGCTCCACTCGTGTTTCTTAAAGCAAGTTACATTTCGTATCAAACTGTTTTAAATTACTAAACGCTGTTACAACCAAACACCGTGGAAATGTTTTAAGCTCTAAATTCGCTAATTATACAGTACACAAGCAGTAAAAAGCTTACCTTTCTGACCGGCATCCACGTGAAGTCTTTAAAAAAACCAAACTTTTTCTTCTTGTGATCTTCGTGCCATGGTGGTTGACAACCAGCTTTTTGGAGCATTACCGCCACCGTCTGGATTGGAGTGTTGATCATGAGTTTAGTCACGCATGTGTTTATTATGAAACCAACTTCTGCTTTAAAACAAAAACAGTCAGCACAGGAGCGTGCTATCTCAAAAATAAGCGAATTTTACATAGTTTTTCTGTAGATGACATGTATAATCTATTTATACATAATATTGTTTTGTTTGCGTCTAAACATTGCGACCATCCACACTAAATATTCTTTTTTTTTTTTTTTTTTGCTATCGTACCATGAATATTTTCTCAAATTATCATTAAACGTGGAGCTAACAGATTACTAGATAAAATAAGAACTTAATCGGTTGCCATCAGCCTTAATCGGTTGCCATATGGTTGACCGGAATCGGGCCAGTGCTTTACAGCCGCATCACAACCGCATGTGCGCGAGCGAGCTGCGGGCCGCACTCGGCCCGGATAACACTCGCCGATGCCGAGTCGGAGCCGGAGGCGCCGGAGGGCAGCCGAGCTCGGGCCGATTACTGCCTGCTATCTGGGTTATTTTATGTAGCCTAAGATGTATACAGGCGTGTAAGTTAGATTAAGCATGGTCTGAGAGAGGACATGTCCCCACCAATATTCACCATTGAAATGTCCCCACCAATAATTTAATTAACCTAAATCTGTCAATATTAACTTATTATAATATTAGACATGCAGAAAGGGTTAAATCACGTTCTCCTCCAGTCGCACCGCCCCTAAACACACACATGAGCATTGTGATTGGCTGAGAGTTTACCTGCCGTCACGTGAGAGGTATCAAACAATGTGGACATGGACAAAGGAAATTTTTCAACGAAAAGTCACATACGATAAAGTTTGCTACAGAATGAGTCCATCATGATAATGCTGTTAATGATTCTGTTTTTTTTTTAGTCTGTGAATAATGTATGTGTAATCATTGCAAAAATATTGATTTCAATATGATTTCCTCTAGTATAGTTACTATCAATTTAAATGTGTTTTGTGTTCACAAAGATAAATGTAAAAAAAAAGAGTAATATTGTTTGTGCGGTCTCTTTTCTACCTTTTTCCTGAACTAAAGATGCTATATAGGGTTGTCACGCTGTTCCACATTGTTACAGAGAACTTTGCACTGGTGACAATACATTATATATACACACATTTAGTTTGGTTTCAATCATTTGTTTTGTTTACTCATGTAAAAACAATTCGTTATACTGTACTGTAGAATGTTGTTTTGTTGACAGTATATGCTGTACATTTATATATTGCATTGTAGTGATATTTTATGAACTTCTTTTTTTTTGCTGGATTATTTTGTTGGATGGTTATAACCACTTTTTTTCTGTACCAAAGTATTTTCTACCATTGATTGTCAAATTGCTTCCTATTTTAGGTATTCATTTACAAATGTGCGTTTAAAGTTATAAATTACAGCTTTATATATAATAAACAGTTAGAATAAGACAAACATTTGTAAAATGCAAATTTATTATCATCTGTCATTGCATTTTTTTAACAAATCTGTTAAATTTGTAAATTTGTTTTATCTGTTTATTTACTTGAGTAAATGTGTGTAATTCTATATTCAGTTTTTTAATTAATTTCAGTAATATTATTAACTTGTGTGTGTGTGTGTGTGTGTGTGTGTGTGTCTATATATATATATATATATATATATATATATATATGTGTGTGTGTGTGTATGTTATATGACAAACTAGCTTTAAGTACCAAATAAAGTGACCCTATTTGGATTTGCATTTTAAACGTTAAATAACAGTTAAAAATATATTATTTTTTATTTCATATATTAAGGTTTCAGTTATGATACTCCAAAAATAATTCCGCAGAAATTCGCAGACTTTTAGCAAAGTTCTTCGCAGAAATAGCAAAAAATGTCTGCAGATTCCCTCTGGCCCTACCTACAGGCAATTAACAAACTGGCCAGCACATTCAACTTTCCACAGTCAGAAATTGAATATTTGAGTTATAATAAAAGTTCATACATGATAATAATAATCCGTTTGGTCTTGTAAGCCACCTGAACCTAACTAGGGCCCTGACTATTTAATTTAACTTAATACATTGTATGAGATCATTAATTAATAATGTAATTTAATAGCAGTTAAATAATTAATAGCAGCTTAACTCCAAATGTAAATGTCAACCACTAGATGGCGGTTTGTAGTTAAGTTTGCTCATATAACAACCCTCAAGGTTGTTTTTAAGTACAGGTGAACAGATGGCGGATGTACACTGGGTATTCTAGTTTTACTAAGCCATGTTTCCACTTGTTTATATATTGTAAGCTGCATTTTCTTTATCAAGTAAAAAAGACAACAATTGGATGTTTATGCATGAACACAATGACTTTATTTCTAATTCATGAGTAACAAACATCTGAACACCTGTTCCAGTGTGGGAATAACACCTCTCATGTTGCTTGACGTCACTGTGTGTCAGGGTAATGTTTTAGGAACTGAATGTTTCTTTCGTTCTTGTTTTTAAGAGGCGCTTATGTTAGTCTACTGATAGTATAGAAAGCCTTATGTGGGGCAATGGCCTGCGCTATAACTAAGAGATATTTTGAACACTTGAAATCTTTTTGTTAAACATGATATTTTAGCACCAGCAAATCAAGTAATTGTCTTTCTGTATATTGATGGCTATTTTTCTGCTTTTTGGATGCACTAGTCAACCTCCTTATCTTCATTTTAGAAAGTAACTGTATAGTTGTATATCCACTCTTTATCCATCTAAATTATTAGTTTATTGCTTACAGTAGTACATATACATGCTTTAAAATATACGCTATATATGCATTGCGTGTGGTTATATCACATGTCAGCTAGCCTACTTGATTGCTAAGAATATACACCACATTACCCTCTGACACAAATGCGCTGAATGGAACAGTAAACGTTGGAGATTAAATAAATATTAGTATTTCCTGCTATGTGTTGAGAGATTATGGAGTGCACAATACAAATAAACAACTTTTTAAATAAAATCCCTGTTAGTTTCAGTTTTATTTCATAGAAACTTGTAGGCGAGAGATTCATGCAAACAAAATGGAAAAATAAAAAAGTCCTTCAACCATATGACGTCAATGAATGTGTCAAGTGTCAACCGCAGACAATCATCAGCCCAAACAAAAAAAAAAAACCTGTTTGTCTACCTGCAGATCACTTTCATGTTGATGGGAAAGAAAATCACACCTAATCCCACTCAGTTGCTCGTGGTGCAGAGCTGCAAACATCACTTATGAAACATGAACATGTTCATTACCGAATATGCAGCTTAAAACGTTTGTAAGTGTGCAGTGAATGAGGAATTTTAAAATTTGATTATCTTCTTGTGGCAATCGGAGCATACTCCACAGTGTCCTCGGCACATGTCTGTAAAAAAAAAAAAGTTGAAAAAACAGTTAACGTAAAGGAGATATAAAAACCAGTTGCCTGTATATGTTACATTGGTTGCATAGCTGTTTTTCTGCAGGTGAACAAGGTTCTTTAAGTTTAAATTATATTCCAGCACAGTTTATTTTAAATTGGTTTGGTCTGATGGGAAAAAAAACACTCAAGTAAAGAAAATATAGACTTTTATTTTTATAGACATATTTTGTCGACAATTTGAAAAAAAAGGTCAAACATCAACTCTTAAAAGGCTTGTAGGTTTTTGCTTTGTATGCAATTGAAGAACCATTGTTGTTGTTTCCATGACCACACATTTAATAAACAACTCTTAAAAAAAGACAATAGTATCTGGATGAGTCTTGAGCAATGTCAGACATAACGCAGGGCTCGACAATAAGGATTGTTACTATCCCGATCCGGCCAGTGCTGCCTTGTCACTTAAATTGTATTTGGTTGCTACTGTTTGTCAGTTGCATGCAAATACTGTCTTATGCTGTGTTCACACCAGAAGCGGAACGCATGGATAAATCGCGCTGTTCATGCATAAATAGACGCATGAATCTTTTGAATTTACTCATTTCATTTGTGCATCAAATTAGCTACATTCGCGAGTCAAATTCACTTCACAGTAGATGCGGATTCATGCCAAGGCCAGGGCTTCTGTCTGCCCGGTGACTCTAGCTTTGTTGCTATAATGGCTAACATGGTTTTTATTGAGACAATAGCTGTGTTTATTTGCTTTAGGAAGTCTGAAAAACAGTGTTGATTCATTAAGAGTCCACTAGATCCATTCTGAGGTGCACCCAGCTCTGTAAAGTTCATCAGCTCCTCCAGAAACTGAACCTGGATGATGGAACCTTTCAGCGGTGCTTTAGACTGAGCCGAGCCCAGTTTGATGAACTGTTGTCCGGTGTCGGCAGGAGGATTATCGCCAGGGATAGCAACAACAGGCATTACATCATAATCACGCCCCCACAAGAGAAAACTTCTGATTGGTTAACGCTGTGCAAATGTCTGCTCCAGTAATAGCGCAAAACGCATCATTCGTGCCACCTTGTTTGCCCGTATAACGCTGCAGAATCAATATTCGCATCTTTGCATTGGCTTAACATGTTATACACTCGTGCTTGACACTTCTTCCATGTCTGGTGTGAACGCAGCATTAGGGTGCTTTCACACTTAGACTTTTTTTCGGAACCTGTCGCGTTTGCCCAGTTAGCGCAGTTTATTTGGCATACGTGAATCCTGCAGTCATGAGAATCTGCGCCAAATCAATTGGTCCGAGATTGCCTGAATAGGGTAGTTTCAGCTCGATTAAAATGAGCGTTGGAGTGGATCAATTGTAGGGATAAAGCAAAACGATCTAACTAACCAGGCCAGATCACAGTGTATAATGGGTGTAATAGCCATACACAGTTATATGAAGAGAGAATGATGAGTACGGCGAGATGTCATTCCTAGCTAATATGTGTTTCATGTCGAATATGAAAGTGAAAGCATGCTGAAATATTACAGTGCTGTTTATCTGTTAGGAAAATTGACTGAAATTACCATCTGATAATTTTTCCATATTGGAATCTTATAATATTTTGTATTAGGCCTATTATTTTGTTCATTTCTGCACACCTCAAAAGAAAAATAAACATTGATCTGCTTCATGATCTGACTGCAGTCCCGGTTCATCTGATCTTTCTCTCTATAATTTAAGCCTGTAATGCGTAATTATAGCCAACTTTTTGTTATAGATTTTAATAGAGATCTGCGCGGGATTAAATTTTTAATCCCGCTCCCGCCAGGTTTTAGTCCAAACCTGACCGCTCCTGCTTTATTCAGCATTTGTTGTCCTGCTGCACGACCCGTCCCGTTTTATAACCGCCGTGCCCATTCCCGCTAACCAGGACAAAACCAAAACGAGTCGGGAGCGATATTGTTAGACCGCCCACTCCCGTTTAAATTACCCCAGTTACCAGCCGCTCCCGCGATTTATTCGGAAATTTATTCCAGCGCCGCAAGAAATCTGGACGGGTCCTGCGGCTCCCGAGGTACAGTTGCGGGAATGCAGACCTCATTATTTAAGTTGTAAGTTGTATTAAAAGAAACAATTTGCTGAATAAAAAGTTATTTCAGTTATGTTTGGTTTTGACACATTATTTAAAATATGTGGCTAAGAAGTAGCCACTCGCTTTTTTTTTTGGCAGTGCAAGTAAAAATCTGAACCATTGTACCAATCGGGCCAGTAGAAAAAATCCTTAGTGTTGAACCCTGCAATGCACTCAATAGAGCTAGTGATGTCACTGTGAAGCGTAGGGTTAGGTGAGCCTATTCAAAAGCATTGCTTGCAGCTTAGATTTCAACTGTACCAAGTCTGCATCCAGACCCCTCTCAAATAATCTTTTTTTTTTTTTTTTTTTTTTTTTGTATGAAGAATATTTTAAAAATTTAAATATAAGATTTGTTTTTGGACTAAAATGGTTTTACTAGACATTATAGTTCTTTAATAGAACAATTAATTGTTTTTTTTTTTTACATTGGGAGCATTAGTTATAGAAATACCACATTTTAAAAAGTGATCAGTTTGCTTTATTTAACAATAAATTGTTCTTAAAGTGATTAGTTGATGTTTACATAAGTGATCAAATCCATTGCTCGCTTTTAAAATGAAAGCAAGTTTAGCAGGAAATACCTCATATGAGCTATAGTTTCTTGTTGAATGTTGACTTCACACATCAAATATTTGTCAGTTTCATGATCGATCATACACAAAACCAACCAGCATATAATAGTAATGATCTTACCAAATTCTTTACTTTTCTTTGGTAGATTGTCGGCTCAATGTACGTGATCTCGTCTTCTTCGGTCCCGACTGTTTTAATGACAGAAATGAACACTTTAAAAACAAAATGCTAATATGAATTATAATTCAAACCCAGAAGCATGTTTAATGAAAGTAATTATAACTGAACCTCTGCCATACTTGGAGATGTGAATTTAAATGTCAATAAAGCACTAAAAGTTTTTTTTTTTTTTTTTTTTTAAGACTATATTCATGATGCTGATTCATTTTAAAATTATGTTGCTTTATTGTATTTAAATGCACAGTAGCTGATAAATTACCAGTATGCACTGTAAACCTACAGTAGCATACTGTAAACTGCACAGTTTGAAAAAAAAACTGCTGGGAAAAGCAGCTTAATACTGTGGAAAAAAAAAAAAAACTGTTTACAGTGCAATAAACGGCTGCATGCCGCAAAACTCAATGTCTTTCCTTTTACTCTTGTGCTAAGCCTAATTTGGTGTGTCTAGTCAAACATTATTATAAAAATGTAATATCACCAGGTTTCAGATTCAATCTTCAACAATTCTTGGCAAAGGTTTTGCATTTCTTTATGAAATTGATAGTTTGTGGGCTTCAAAAATGTGAGTGTATGCACCTAAATTTTGGAGATACCGTCTAAGCATTGGTGATGCGATGACGCAGTAGGTAGTGCTGTCGCTTCATCGCAAGAAAGTTGCTGGTTCGAGCCTTGATTGGGTCAGTGGGCGTTTCTGTGTGGAGTTTGCATGTTCTCCTCGTGTTGGCGTGGGTTTCCTCCGGGTGCTCCGGTTTGCCCCAGAGTGCAAAGACAAAGAATTGGGTAAGCTAAATTATCCCTAGTGTATGTGTGTGAACGAGTGTGTGTTTCCCAGTGATGGGTTGCAGCTGGAAGGGCATCCGCTGCATAAAACGTATGCTGGATAAGTGGTTGCTTCATTCCTTTGTGGCGACCCCAGATTAATAAAGGGACTGAGCCGAAAAAAAAATGAATGAATGCCAATGTTTAATACATATGCCGAATCAGAAGATATACAAAACCAGTGCCAATTCACAAAAGTAGTTGCTAAAAAAAATGAAAACCAGTATTTGAGATTTTTTTGGGACATCACAAGAGTAGCAAGGTGGAAAAATATCGCATAAAATGAGTGTTGAAATGATCAGAAAACAACAAAAAAGGTTGTAAGGAAGTACTGGAGTATTAATACATGATTTGTTTTTAATCTTTATCAATTACAACTTGCGTTGACAAATGAAATGGCTTTTGGTGGGAGTTTTAGTCTAATGAAATAACATTGAAAAGCCTTTTTTGGAGGAGTAAAGAAGTCTTTTCATGGTCAAAATGAGCAGAACTCAGCACAAAGGTTAAAAATAACTACTATTAAGAACGTTCTTATTTGATTTAACTCCGATCAGTTCCTCCAGGATTTGGCAAAGACTTTTTATATTACTTTTTTTAAATTATTTTTATATTAAAATTACATTTTGTAAAGGCTTTTGCCAATCGCATTGCATTATTTGCTTCAATTTTATGTTTTGTTTTGAAAATACACCTCAATCTTGTAAAAAAAAAATGTATTATTATTTTTCTTTATTATTTCAAGAACCTTTGCATTCCTGGAGGAATTGCCTTGTTACTGACAACTTGCATTTACAAAGTATATTTAAAAATATTTTATATTTAATGTATTTTAACACTTGCCTTCTTGAGCCGTTTTTCTGCATTTCCTGTAAATACAGACGATCAGGCCTGCGGCAACTATCAGCAGAGATCCAGCAGAAACCAGCACTAATAGAGAAACTGAATCTGTAACTATAGAGAGGGATAAAGTCACTGATAGCATTTTGCTGCTTTATATGAAAAGTAAAACAAAAAAATCAGTTTATTGAACTTTCATTTTGGGCTAGATTACAACAGCTGGTGTTGCTGTTATTTGCACAATCCTCAAAACCATGTAAAACATATAGGACTTTATGTAATACGTAAAGAAATAGTTCACCCAATAAAAGAATATTTACTCACTGTTTACTCTCTCAAGTGGCTCTAAACTTTTGGGTTTCTTTTGAACGCATAAGAAAATATATTTAATGAAAGCTGGAAGCTTATAACCGATGACCTCCATTGTATTTGTTCGATATTTACAGGTTTCCAGCTTCCTTAAAAATATCATCTTTTGTGCTCAACGGAGGAAAGAAGCTAAAGCAATCTTGGAACTAAAGGGTAAATAAATTATGACAATTTTTTTTCTGGTTTACTATTCCCTTAAAGCAGGGCTGATACATCCTTTTCCTGGTAATTTACATATCTGCAGAGCAGTTCAGCTCCAACCTTTATCAAACACAACTAAACCAACTAAGTAGGATCTGAAGCAGCACTTGAAATGTAAAAACAAGTGTGTTTGATCAAGGTTGCTGCTAAAATCTGCAAGAAGGTATCTGCAAGAACAGGATTTAGCACCTCTGGCTTAGCAGTCAAATTATGAAGAATAAAAAAAGCTAAATCCACCAATCTAGTTTAAAACTTGACTAAAGCCAAATCTCTTTGTGTTAGCATTCAGAAACAACACAAATGCATAACTCTTGAAATGTGGCTTGTACACACCAAGTCAACGGCAAACAACTAGATCCATTGAAACCCAACTCTGTTGTCGGTCGCCAGGTAGCAGCTTACATCTGGTTTCATCTTGACCATCTTTCCACTCCAAAGGGGGGCGGTGTCTGTTTTTTCTTTCAGAACCGCAAAACTGGCACTTCCAATGGGTATGTGCAAGCGGCATGCAGTATCATTCATTCAGCTTAGTCCATTATTTATCAGTGGTCGCCAATTATTCTGGCATATGTTTTACACAGCAGATGCCCTTCCAGCTGTAACCCAGTGCTGGGAAACACAAATACACTCTCGCGTTCACACAAACTCATACACTACAGCCAATTAAGTTCATCAATTCACTTGTATCGCGTGTCTTTGGACTGTGGGGGAAACTGGAGCACCAGGAGGAAACCCACACCAACACGGGGAGAACATGCAAACTCCACACTGAAATGCCATTGCCAACTGACTCAGCTGGGACTTGAATCAGCAATCTTTTTGCTGTGAGGTGACAGTGCTAACAACTGAGCCACTGTGCTGCCCATTCAGTATCACTATTACAGTAATTTGTCACTCAAAATGGATGGATTTACTCCTGCAAATATGACTGATAATCTAATAGTTTAAACCATTGCAAATATTGGAGAATTGTAGCAAAATCACAGCCGGCCTGTTTGTGTTTCTTGGCTTGAATTGCTTATTTGCTAAGGCACTTCACTACACAACAACTGTTCTCTAAATCGTTGCTTAAAAACTAATCAGAGAGCTCTTGTTAGCCGATGCTGATTCTACATGCTTAATTGGGTCTAGACTGCAGCTCTGCAGAAGAAATTTGGCCAGAGGAGAACTGGTTGTACCCAACTTGGCTTGGTTTCTCTTTAGAGTTTTTTTCCTTCACTTTCGTCAATTGGGGAAGTTTGTTCCTTGCCACTGGTTTGGGACTAGCAGAGCTGTGCATCAGTGGAGTTTCTCTTCAGTGTTTCAACTTTCAGCTGTTACATCATGCATTAAACTGAACTTCATCTGTAAAAACTGCACTGAAGCAGTTTCAGTTTACTAGAACTTCATCTGTGTTAAACTGTTTTGTCACAATCTACATTGTAAAAAAATGCTGTAGAAATAAAGTTGAATTGAATCAAACCAGTCAGTTCAGTAGATATCAATTCAGCTGCTGTACCTGAACATGATGTCTGGCAGAGTGTGTTGATGTCCAGATGTGTGGTCTGGTTGCTGATGGTGTTGTTGATCACACAGCTGTAGGTGTTGTTATCCTGATATTCCACCTCCAGAGGTAGAGAGAGACTGATGCTGAGATCAGACACACTGATGCTGGACAATACACTGTTTCCTTTGTACCAGGAGAGACTCACAGCGCTCACATTCACCACTGAACACAACACTGAACAATACTGCACTGATGAAGAACACTGAGAAGAGTTGAAGATGAGGACAGGAGCAGGCAGATAAGCTGGAATATAAAGAGAAATTTGGAGATGTTAGATATTGTTAATAGTTATATGTATCTTTATATATATATATATATATATATATATATATATTAGTGCTATCAAAATTAACGCGTTAACGCATGCAATTAATTTGAAATAATTAACATGTTAAAAAAAATTTACGCAGTTGCAGGTTTTTTTTTTACTTCCTGGTTTGGAGGACATGTGTTTAACATGCAAGAAATATGGATAAGATCAAGGAAGCACTTTTTGAAGGCAAGTTTCAGTATAAAACAATTAGTCGCATCAGCAGGCTCTTTCGTTTCATTTTTAACTTGCCTTTAAGGTAATCAAATCGCTGCTTACACACTAGGCTCTTAATAAGAGTATTATCTTAATCATATTAAAATCTGAGTATTGGTGTCTTATGTAAATGTATTCAGAAAGTCTCTGGTGAAGTCGTGAGCTGTCAAAGACAGGGCATTACTCTGCCTTTCAGCATGAGCCCTCCAAATAGCGTGTTTCCTCATTAAACGTAACAAAAGCGTATGCTTCGCGTTGTTGTGTCAGAATCCTTGTGAAATACAGCCATACTTTAGATCGATTAGTTTAAGGAAAATTAATGAACGCGATCATGTGTGTTGTATCTGATGGGAGTCGCTCCAGCGCATTGTGTGTGTCTGTCTGTGATTGTGTCTGTGTCAGGCCCGTTGAGGGGTGTCAGGGGTGGAGTGAGCGACGTATCTGAGTTGGGCCGTGTGTGCGTGAGACGTACCTGAAGAGCAGTGGGGGTGAGTTGCAGGCGACATACCTGAGGTGCTAGGAAGGATGTGGTGGAAAGGGATGTTTAAGGACTGGGCGGGAGACGCGCAATTTCCGGGAGATTATCATTCATTTGCGGGCATCCAGGAGTCTCTGTGCATTTGCGGGATACTCCTAGTCTTAGCAACTGGATGAATGTAAAGGAGGACTGAGCAAAATTGTTTCTACTATAACTATATAACTAATGTTCTCAACGCACAGTTGCACTCAAACTTTACAATGAGTGCAACTGTTTGTATTCAAGTTTTTTATTATTATTATTATTATTATTATTATTATTATTATTATTATTATTTTCCATATCTGTAATGCCTGTATTTTGGCATTTTTTTGCAGTCCACTTAGAATCCAACTTGGAAATCAAATTTTTCTTTATTGGCATTGCTTGTTTTAAAATTCAAATGGCTTTAACATGCCTGTGTTTTAATTTCTGTAATAAATATGGCTGTCAAGCCAGGATCTTGATGGTTTATTGTGGGTTTGTTGTTTACATGAACAAATCTGTGTTACAAGTTAGACAAAAATTCTAATAAACAATTATATTTTGAATTTAAATACTTTTTGTCTTGTGTTTACATTAATTTCACACTTGAATAGCCAAAATTACAAGTAGGCGACGCAGTGGCGCAGTAGGTAGTGCTGTCGCCTCTCAGCAAGAAGGTCGCTGGTTCGAACCTCGGCTCAGTTGGCGTTTCTGTGTGGAGTTTGCATGTTCTCCCTGCCTTCGCGTGGGTTTCCTCCGGGTGCTCCGGTTTCCCCCACAGTCCAAAGACATGCGGTACAGGCGAATTGGGTAGGCTAAATTGTAGTGTATGAGTGTGTGTGTGAGTGTGTGTGTGGATGTAAGGGTATCCGCTGTGTGGAAGCTTGCTGGATGGGTTAGCGGTTCATTCCGCTGTGGCGACCCCGGATTAATGAGGGGACCAAGCTGACAAGAAAATCAATGAATGAATGAAATTTCAAGTTTCAGTCTTTTAAATACGACGATACCCCCACCCACCCACTTGTCTAAACACAACCGACAGCGTTTTGAAAAGCAATCTGGAAAAAGAAAAGCCCTCACCTGATTTTTACCTCATTCTCACCCTGTTAGTTACTCATTTATTTTATTATATTTTTTGGCTTCTGTTTTTGTCTTACCCACTTTCTGGAACCATTCTTCGCCAGACTCATGCTGCGTTCACACCAGATGCGGAAGAAGTATAAAGTGTGAGTGATTTACATGTTAAGTTAATGCAATGATGTGAATAGACATCGTGCAAATGACGCAGTTTGCACAAATATAGTGGTTTGAGTGTGAGTATCACGCTAATCGCTCAAGTTAGAGAATCTGAACTTCAGCTGACATTTGCACCTTGTTAACCAATCTTGAGCTTGCTCTTCTATGGGCATGATTATGACGTAGTGCCTGTTATTGGTGTCCAAAGGGAAAATTCTCCTGCCGACACCAGACAACACTTCATCAAATTGGGCTCGGTTTAGTCAGAAGCACTGCTAAAAAAACCCATCATCTAGTGATGTTTTGTAAACAAATTTCGGGAGGAGCATGCGCAGAAGTTTCAGTATCGAATACGTCATTGACAATTATCCCATCATCAAATCAGTTCTTGAACAACCCCTATATATACCAAAGCTGTCTTACCTGCAGCATCTCACGACTTTAGCATCCCTCCACTACCCCGTCACCTCACCTCTTGCATTGCATTCCCGGGGGGAGCGTTCTGAGGCCGGGCTAGATACTTCGCTCAAATCCCAACTCCTCTTTGTTCGCTTATAAGGGGAGTAACTCGAGTTGGGGTGTCTCCTCGGGCTCAGAGCCCTCCCCCCGGACAGCACGCCAAATATGCTTTATATTTAAACGAATGCAAGTGTGAACTCGTGAAGGTTAAGTTTCTGAAGGAGTTTATGAGGAGCTGGATGCACCTCTGAAAGGATCTAGTGGACTCAAACACGGCTCCAAGCGAATCAACGCTGTTTTTCAGCCTTCATAAAGCACATAGACACAACTATTTTCTCAATAAAATCTATGTTAGCCATTTAGCAATGAAGCTAGAGTTACTGGGCAGACAGAAGCCCTGGCCATCACGCGAATCCGCGTCTTTGCTCAGTGAATTTGCCGCGCTAATAAAGTGGATTAGACGTGAGAATGAAGCGAGTAACCTCAAAATGCTCACGTGTCTATTTATACACGAATAGCACGATTTATCCGTGCATACCGCTTCTAGTTTGAACAAAGCATCAAAGCCCGTCCTCTCTGCATCTCAAGTCCACTGACGTATGTGGCAAGCCACTGGACAAACTGGTAACAGCAGGAAAACTGTCGATACCGAAGTAAGTGGTCAGCTGCTAGCGCAAAAAGGAACAGCGTCATACCACCCCGTAGCGTACGTTTTAAAGATAAAATGCAGCCATACATACTTCTGGCTACATATTTCTCAATCTCCAGAAATGTATATAGGAGTGCTTTTTAAGATTGAGCCTATGTTGGATAATTAAACTACTGATTACATAATGAAATAAAGATAATCGAAGGATGGATGATCTTTACTCACCATAGACAGACACTCTGACTGTTTTTGATGATCGTTTTGCTCCACTAATATGCACTTGATAATCTCCAGCATGTTCAGATCTGATGTCTGTGATGGTCAGAGATCCAGTTTTATGATCCAGCTGCAGTCTGCCTTTGAATCTCCCATCAAGAACATCATAAGTGGAGAAGATTTGTTTCTCCATGCTAATTTTAGCTATGAGAAAGTTTTCAGATCCAAATTTCCACAGCAAGTCATCATTTATTTTCATTTCATTAATATCGGTGTGTAGATTGATGGAATCTCCCTCCATAACGGATACTGATTCAGCAAAAACACCTGGATGACAAAAAAAAAAACACACTGAGGGTCTTGTGGTTGTACAGACTCTGACATTGTTTGTATTGTTAGAACTGAAAAATAATTATTGCAACAAATCAAATCCAATCACTTTTATTGTCACATCATCAGCAGCACGTGTGCTATGATAAGTGAGGTCTCAAATGATTATTTCCTATAAAAACATGAAATAATAAGAATTTCCATGGCTGCAAGACCCTCTTCATTTAAATAGACATCATAAGCCCAAATCTGAACATCTTGCAATAAAGTGGTAATAATAATATAATTTCATCAGTTGGTAACTTAATGAACAGCACAGCGATATTAAGCTATTAACATGCTTCATGACTTACCAATGAGATGCCACCAGGACAGACAGAACAAAGAAAATATGTACAGCATTTTCTTCAGTGATCTAATGGAACTAAACACTCCAGCTGTATGAATATTGTGGCAGAGTGTGACCCACTTTGTACACACAAGACACACACACACACACACACGCACACACTGATGGTGGGTACATTTTCATACACTCAAAAAAAAATGCTGTTTCAAAACTACTAGTTTAAAATGAGCTGAAACAACACAATTATTTTTTGTGACAACTTAATTGTTTTATGTTCAATCCACTTACATTCCTTCATGTTGTCCCAACATAAATTGATTTCATGGAGCCCAGATTTTTTTTGTGTATAAATGCGTATATTCTGTGTAAGGAGCATTTCTTACAATGTTTTCTTAATAAGTTAATATAATTTAAAAAAACCTGCTTCTGCAATAAGACATATTTGCTTTTTGTTAATTTAAGATTGATAGTCTTTTAAATGTTAAATGCATAAAAAGTATGGATATTGTTATAATATATAATATAGTTATGATATATGTTATAAGGGTTATAAGAAATCGCTTTTCGGTAAAACAAACAAACAAAAAGTCAAAACTATGTGCCAGCTCACATGACCAGTTTTACTAACGATCAACTTTAGCAGCAATTGAGTCATACTGAAACATCCTGTGGTATGTTAGCTAAAGCGATCTGGTTAGGTCAGTTCTGCGTATGAGTGCTGTGGATACGGTGCATTTGTGTTAAGCTTTAGGTTAAGAGTTTCTTCCTGTCTCGCTTTTATGAACCTCACAGTCTGATTTCCTTTCTAAAAATGTTTCACATCTGTAATCAAATACTGAATCAAAACATTTGAAACTGAATTCATCACATATCTATACTGACCGCAGATCTTTTGATAACAATCTGTTTTGTTTATAACCACTTTTTCTCGACAGTAGTGGTTTGGAGTGTGTGTTTTTTTTTTTTTTTTTTTTTTTTTTTTTACTTGTCAGTGAGAGGGCGAGGTTCGGTCTTTCTAAATACTTATGTGATAAAAAAAACATTACTGCTACTGAGAAAGTTGACAGTACACAAGTGAATAAAAAATGCAATAGGTAAGGAAAATTACTGGTTTGTAAACATTCTGGATGCTCACGCATTATGGTTACAGAAATCAGTATTGTATGATATATTCTAAAATAAAAATGCAGAAAGAATATTAAAATATAAAATCAAAATTCTGTATTCTCAAAATTCCTGGAATAAACTTTACAATACTGATTAGGAAAATCTTTGCTCAGTAAATCTTCTAGGCTTTCATTCAAATAGTTCAATCTGAATCATAGATGTTTCTATTATATATCGCCTACGCTGTTGTTGTCTAGTGGCGACGCAGTGGCGCAGTGGGTAGCACGTTCACAGCAAGAAGGTCGCTGGTTCGAGCTTCAGCTCTGTTGGCGTTTCTGTGTGGAGTTTGCATGTTCTCCCTGCGTTCACGTGGGTTTCCTCCGGGTGCTCCGGTTTCCCCCACAGTCCAAAGACATGCGTACAGGTGAATTGGGTAGGCTAACTTGTCCGCAGTGTGTGTGTGTGTGTTTGTGTGTGTGGGAATGTATCCCAGAGATGGGTTGCTGGATAAGTTGGCGGTTCATTCCGCTGTGGCAACCCCGGATTAATAAAGGGACTAAGACGACAAGAAAATGAATGAATGAATGTTGTTGTCTTTTGGAAGGAATGCATCAATACAGCCACCATTTTGGTATAGGGTAGTGCTTCTTTGAAATGAATGTGGGACCAAGGTGCAGTCAAGAACTGGCCATCCAGAGCCAGAGATACACACACACACACAGATATATATATATATATATATATATATATATATATATATATATATATATATATATATATATATATATATATATATATATATGGGTCTAGATTTACAGTTAAATAAAAAGTCTGTTGTGTGTGATGAAGAGAAGACTTAGAGTCGTAGACGCAAAAAAAAATAAAAAATTTAATGAAGATCGCTGGCCGATCTAGGGCCGGAGTGGGACTCCTTTTCAGCCCTGGAGTTTCAAGCCTCAGACCGGCCCACCTCAGTTCACCACTGACTATATTAAAATAATGAATAAGAAGACTGTGGTCAAGTAAACAAATAAATTAATTTAAAAAGTGTGACTGCTGCTGAAAGCAGCAGATTCTGGAGCTAGGGACACCGGCCCTCGCGGCCAAAAAACGGACCGGCCCAACGGGAATTCTTCCGGTCCTCCCAATTAGCCAATCCGGGCCTGGGCCGATCTGATTTACAATACAGAAATTACTCATACACATACACAAGATCAGAAAGGGTGTGATTCAGAGAGACGGTTCCAATCGGTTAAGCAAAGATAGACAATTCTAAATATGTACATTGATAAGGAATTGTGTCTGAATCCAGATATGGATGGCGACATGGTGTTTTAGGGTAAGGACGACCCTAGAATATTCCAAGCTGATCTCCGACCTGTAAGGCTTAAATATCGGATACATATACACACACCCAAGAGACAAACTGTTATAACTAGCTCCTCACGGAATCTGCGCGAGCAGAATTCAGCAGATTTCTGCAGATTTTTAGCCCATCATTAATTCTGTTTATTTACTTGTGTAAATGTGACTAAATGCATATTTATTCAGTTTTTAAAGTAACTTCAGTAATATTATTAACTAATATGAAAATGTTCATTTGATTTATTAACAATATAGTTTGTACAGTAATATTTTCTGTCTTTTAGTAGAGATATTATATGAGAGACTTTCTTTGTTTACCAAATATAGTGGATCTAATTGGATTTCCATTGTAAAAATTAAATACATTATTATACGGTAAATACGTTACATTATACAGTACATTATAAATACGGTATTATTTTTCATTTAATATGTTGAAGTTTTAGTTATGATACTCCCAGAACCATTCCGCATAAATCTGCAGATTTTTACCAAAATTCTGCGCAAAAACAGCAAAAAACGTCCGCAAGTTCCGTCTGGCCCTAGTTATTACTCAAGGTTGTTTCTTGTAATGTGAGCTGTCTTATCAAACTAGTTCAAAACTAGTTCTGGTTTATTTAAAATTCCTGCTGTTATATTCTCACTACACACAAAGTCTATCTGTCATAAAAAGGAAATGCCTTTAAAAAGAGTTAACCATTAAAATAGTCAAATCACTTTAGACAGTATAATATCTAGACAGAACAATAGAAACAGTTGTTCCCAGTCAACAGATTCAACACAGCTTCCACTCAAGAGAGAGAGAGAGAGATCTCCATGACCTATTACCTAGTTTCGTGAGGCTCCTGGCAATAAAGTTAAAATAGACAAAGAGAGAAGCAAGGACAATGACCATTCTTACAGCAGTGTGTTCACTTATTCATTCATCAAAGTTAAATACTCATTCAAATAATTATATTAATAAAATAATGAGAAAAGGATCCATGCTGGGACGGATTGGAAGGCAGAAATCCGAATCTAACACCAGCATCTTCTAATTGACTTCAGTCTTGATCATTGCGGTTGAATGACATTTGTCCTGGGAGCACTGTACAAATGTGGCAGCAGTATTAACGCATACTCGGGGTCCGTTTGTGATATCTAGTGTATATATCTATGTATCTGAATCATCAGATATAAATTTGCATATGCGAGGGGAAAATAGTAAGAAATGTAAAGTAAAAAAAAAGAATGTTATGTAAAATAATGCATAAATAATGTTTTAATGTGCCCCTGTTATGTTATAAAAAGTTTTTTTCATTTGGGTCAAAAACTATTTTCATTGTTCTTTAATATGCGTTATTGTCCCAACTAATTCCTTATGATTTATTCAGCGATTTTATTGATTTATTTGTTTATTTTAAACCCCTCTTTTGCATGGCACTAATCTGCAGCTATTGGTCCAATGACCCAGTCTGTTGTGATTGGTCTACTGCATGCACTGAGTGGTGGAAACAGAACATCCATTGTGGCTTTAAGGGGGTCACACACACCATGCTACACCACGTCTTTTTACCGCACATCAGCAGGAAATACTGAAGTTTAAAACTTCTCCGCACTGCACACACAAACTTGTCAGAGGTTCATTCAGCTGTGTGAAAGATTTGGTTTGCAGTTCAAACAAGCAAAATCAATGAGGTTTGTTTTCATCGTAAAGCAATGCGAACAGACATCCAATTGCGGCGAAAATGTGCGACAGTGTTTTGTTTTCCTAAAACATTCTTCAATTCTTAAAGACCTGGATTGATAACAAAGTGGCTACACGTTAACTAAAACAACAAATATCACATTGCCCAAGCACTGTATGTCACACACACCAACACACACCCACAACAGGCAACAGGTTAAACTCGTCCTATGAGGAAATTAATAAATAAATCAGTAACAGAAAGACTTCTTGCACATGAGCTAACTGGTTTCGCTGAAGAGTCATGGCGAAAAATGGGTTTCCTCTTTTATTTGCAGTGATTTCTCTTTTGAAGCAAGGTAAGGTTATTTATTCATTTATTTCACATCCTCTTGTCAGCAAGAAAGTGTAATAATTAAATAGTCACCAGGACACATATTCAGCCCTGCGCTGTGTAGGTTTCAGTTTGTTCTCCAAAGGCACATGAAGCGGGAAGTCCTTCAGTCTTTCTTTATGTAAAGCTAGCTTTAAGTATTAGTATTAATGGTAACGTCGTACCGGTAAGACTTAAAGTGGAAAAGATGATAGATAGATAGATAGATAGATAGATAGATAGATAGATAGATAGATAGATAGATAGATAGATAGATAGATAGATGTTGTAATTGCTAATTTACAATGCACATATACATTTTGCTACACTGTAAACGATTTCTGTTGTTTTCACAGTATTATACTGCATTTCTCAACAGTTTTTTACTGTATAAGCTGTGTACAGTGTGTTACTGTATATATTGTTGTTTTCACAGTATAATAATGTATTTTCAACTTTTCTATACTGTGAACATGGTAAACAGTATGTTACTGTAGATTTTATAATGAATTTTGGGGAAAAATCAGTTACTGTGCATCTAAATACAGTACAGCAAATGACCAAGAACAACTACACACACACTATATATATTATGATTATTATGTTTATTTATTTTTAGACAAATTATTTTGTGAAGTAAATAACCTAACCAGTTTCTTCAGACTATTCAAAACTGTCCCCTGGTTTTCCATTTTTGGGTGCACTGCTCCTTCATTTTATAAGGTAACATGGAAATATTAAATACTATTTAATAAACATAACTTTGTGCTAAACCAAAACGTAAATTGGAACAAAAATAATTGATTCACGTAACCAAAGACTGTTAAACACACAAAATGATTTCAAAGTCAGCTTGACCAACCTGCTTTAGACGGATTCAAGAATATTGGGCACCCATATGGGCCACCGTAGATATCTCCGCATTTTCAAAACAATATTTTAAAATACGCACTATCTTAATAAATAAACCACAGACTTGAGTTTAAAACAACTACATTCTCGCATGAAAAACGGTTAAAACTTTATATCATAACACATTTATTATCTAGTCATCGAAGACAGGGGCATGTCTCAATAATGTCCAGGCCGAGTAAAGCATGAGGTTTGCCGGATACATGAGTGATGGAGCGCCGTCAACGAGAAGGGTAATCCTGCACAACTGGAGTGGCTGCACTCTCAGGACCGCATTTTTAGGACCGCATCTTTAGGACCCTAGTTTTTTGTGACAGCGTCAACTGTCGGATTGGATCATGGATGCGCTAATGGCCGGCACGACACGGAAAGTGTAAGTACCGACTTTCTATTAAGTTTTATTTTAAACTGTTAAAGTATGTGTTTATTTTGTAATGCTACTGTTTTATACTGTGAGTTTAAGCAGAAATGCCAGATTAGCCTGCATGATTTACCCCACTTTCAAGGGTCAGGGGACTGGGACAAAAATGACTGCGGTCAAGCCAGCCGCGGTTCGGAAAAACACAGTCAAGCCAGCCGCGCTTTATATTTCGGCGCGCGCCTATTATTATCATTACGGTAATGTCAGCAGCCACACAGAGAGCGCTCCAGAGAGCACCCATTTCGCCCAGAAAAGAGAGATAACAACGAAATATAAGTTTATCCCCCTTTCCTCCCACGTATGCTTTATTAAACAATTTATTAGCTTTGTTTGACTGTTGTTATTTTAAGAAATTGGTTTCTGGGCTTACCTTTAATTTCCTCAAGTTTATCTTTTTGCTTCAAATGATTTTATAGCAGATCAAACGGACAGAATAAATATACGATTTCTAAATACACAGAATGCGTTTCTACTTCTCCTAGCCAACTACAGTACATTGCAAATAAGGTTAAATGCAATTTTATACAACGTGGCTAACCTCAGAAAGTGAAAACAATCATAAAGTAATCCAACAAAACATTGTTTGAATTACAAATATATGTTTATTTCATTTAAAGGGGATTTAAAAGGTTATGCTTCTTTCAGTATATGGGATATGGGGCATTATTACACTTTAGATGACTGTAAAGACCTTATTATTTGTTATAAGTAGAATAGAACAACAATAAGATCAGATGCAGGCAGTCAAATACTAAGCATACATCATATGAAGCCTGTTTTACTGCAGCATTTTGGAGAAATGTACCATTAACACACTTTAAAGTGCTATAAAGAAATAAGTAGAAAAACTACAAAGTTTGGTTCTGATACAGGATGTACATGCATACCTCATGTAAAAGACCTCATTCATGTGAGCAGAAGAAAACAATGGACAGGACATCCAATATTATATGCATACCTCATAATAACTTACTGCAGCATTTTGGAGAAATGTGCTATTATTGAGCTATAAAGTCTTTAAAGTGCATAAATACATTGTTTGACATAAGTTAAATAAAAGACTGATCTGGTTTGATACTGGATGTCCCATGCTATATGCATATATACTACATCTGAATACTTTTTACTTCAGCAATTTGGACAAAAAATGCTCATTTAAAATATGTAGAAAAAAAACAATAGTCAGGTCTGATACAGGACATCACATTCTAAACTTTAAATAAAGACTTGTTACTGCAGTGTTTTGGAGAAATTGGGTATTAACATTACTCAGTGTTATAAAGACCCAATTTCCAATAAGTAGACAAAAACAATGATCAGTTCCTGTACAGAACATCCCATGCTATATGTGTACTTCATATGAAATCTTTTTACTGCACTGTTTTGGAGAAACGGGGTAATAACCTAATAAAAAGTGCTATAAAGACTACATTTCAAATAAGTAGGAAAAAACAATGGTCAGTTCTTACACAGGACATCCCATACTATATATGTACTTCACATGAAACCTTTTTACTGCAGCATTTTAAAGAGACGGGGTATTAACATAATATAAAATACTATAAAGACCGCATTTTAAATAAGTAGAAAAAAACAATGGTCAGTTCTTACACAGGACATCCCATACTATGTGTGGACTTCACATGAAACCTTATTACTGCAGTGTTTTGGAGAAATTGTATAATATTATATTTCAAAGTGTTATAAAGACCCCTATTTAAATAAGTAGAAAAAAACAATGGTCAGTTATTATACACGACATCCCATACTATATCTCCACTTCACATGAAACCTATTTACTGCAGCATTTTAGAGAAATGGGGTATTAACATAAAATAAAGTGCTATAAAGACCCCATTTTAAATAAGTAGAAAAAAACAATGGTCAGTTCTTATACAGGACATCCCATACTATATATGTACTTCACATGAAACCTTTTTACTGCAGCATTTTAAAGAGACGGGGTATTAACATAATATAAAATACTATAAAGACCACATTTTAAATAAGTAGAAAAAAACAATGGTCAGTTCTTATACAGGACATCCCATACTATATATGTACTTCACATGAAATCTTTTTACTGCAGCATTTTAGAGAAATGGGGTATTAACATAAAATAAAGTGCTATAAAGACCCCATTTCAAATAAGTAGAAAAAAACAATGGTCAGTTCTTATACAGGACATCCCATACTATATATGTACTTCACATGAAATCTTTTTACTGCAGCATTTTAAAGAGACGGGGTATTAACATAATATAAAATACTTTAAAGACCGCATTTTAAATAAGTAGAAAAAAAACAATGGTCAGTTCTTATACAGGACATCCCATACTATATATGTACTTCACATGAAACCTTTTTACTGCAGCATTTTAAAGAGACGGGGTATTAACATAATAAAAAATACTATAAAGACCACATTTTAAATAAGTAGAAAAAAACAATGGTCAGTTCTTACACAGGACATCCCATACTATGTGTGGACTTCACATGAAACCTTATTACTGCAGCATTTTGGAGAAAGGGGGTATTAACATAATATAAAGTGCTATAAAGACCCCATTTCAAATAAGTAGAAAAAGACAATGGTCAGTTCTTATACAGGACATCCCATACTATATCTGTACTTCACATGAAACCTATTTACTGCAGTGTTTTGGAGAAAGGGGGTATTAACATAATATAACGTGCTATAAAGACCGCATTTCAAATAAGTAGAAAAAAACAATGGTCAGATCTTATACAGGACATGCTAATCTATGTGTGTACTTCACATAAAAGCTTTTTACTGCAGCATTTTAAAAAAACGGGGTATTAACATAATATAAAGTACTGTAAAGAGTTTATTTTAAATAAGTAGAAAAAAACAATGGTCAGTTCTTATACAGGACATTTCATACTATGTGTGTACTTCACATTAAACCTTCTTACTGCACTGTTTTGGAGAAATGGGGTATTAATATGATTTAAAGTGTTATAAGGACCCTATTTCTGATAAGTAGAAAATAACAATGGTCAGTTCTTATATAGGACATCCCATACTATGTGTGAACTTCACATGAAACCTTATTACTGCAGTGTTTTGGAGAAATTGTATAATATTATATTTCAAAGTGCTATAAAGACCCCATTTTAAATAAGTAGAAAAAAACAATGGTCAGTTCTTATACAGGACATCCCATACTATATATGTACTTCACATGAAACCTTTTTACTGCAGCATTTTAAAGAGACGGGGTATTAACATAATATAAAATACTATAAAGACCACATTTTAAATAAGTAGAAAAAAACAATGGTCAGTTCTTATACAGGACATCCCATACTATATATGTACTTCACATGAAATCTTTTTACTGCAGCATTTTAGAGAAATGGGGTATTAACATAAAATAAAGTGCTATAAAGACCCCATTTCAAATAAGTAGAAAAAAACAATGGTCAGTTCTTATACAGGACATCCCATACTATATATGTACTTCACATGAAACCTTTTTACTGCAGCATTTTAAAGAGACGGGGTATTAACATAATAAAAAATACTATAAAGACCACATTTTAAATAAGTAGAAAAAAACAATGGTCAGTTCTTACACAGGACATCCCATACTATGTGTGGACTTCACATGAAACCTTATTACTGCAGC